TGCGGGCTGCCCCTGCCCACAGCATCCCCTGCCCATGGCATCCCCTCCCCACAGCATCCCCCTGCCCATGGCATTCCCCTCCCACACCATCCTCCTGCCCATGGCATCCCGTGCCAATGGCATCCCCCTCTCCACCACAACCCCCTGCCCAGGGCATCCTGTACCCACAAAGGCCAAGTCCTCCTGCCCATGCCATCCCTTTCCCATGGTATCACCCAGCTTGACATAATCTGCTGTCCGCAGCATCCTTGCACTCACAGCATCCCCCTGCCCATGGTATCCCTCTTCCTCAGGGTCCCCTTGTCCATGGTACTCCCTCTCCCCCTGCCCACAGCGCCCATGCCCTGCCCGTGGACACCCTTTCCCCCCCTGCCCGGGGGGCACCCCCGCCTCGTGTGCTCCCTCCCTCCCCACAGGCACCACGGATGACTCCGTGCTCAACGTGGCGCAGCTGCCCGTGCTGTCCAACGCGGAGTGCAGCGCGATGCTGCGTGGGCGCATCAAGGACAGTGAGCTGTGCACCTCGCCGCTGCGCGCCGGCGTGGGCGCCTGCGAGGTAAGCGCTGCCGCGGGGCCCCCGGCCACCTCGCAGCGCCTGTGGGTGCCACTGCCGGGGTGGCACGGAGTTACGCCGTTCTCTTGCTCCCGCAGGGGGACTACGGGGGGCCCCTGGCCTGCCTCACCCACGACTGCTGGGTGCTGGAGGGGGTGATCACCCCGGCCCGTGTGTGTGCCCGCACCAACCAGCCTGCCCTTTTCATCCGCGTCTCCCTTTACGTCGACTGGATGCACAAGGTCATGAAGATGGCCTGAGCCGGATGGCGCGTGGCCCGGTGGGCCCGCGGGGGTGGCCTGTCCCTGCTCGCTGTGACCTGGAGGTGCCACCTCCTTGCCCACCCGCAATAAAGGCAGAGGCGCCCAGCCCGTGACTGCGTTTGGAGGGAGGCCGGGATGCCCATTGCCCTGGGTCGCAGGACACGGGGACGTGGTGGCTCATCTGCCAGCGGGCAGCCAGGAGGCCCCTGTGGCCACGTGCGGTATCCCAGTGCCTGTGGGCAGCGGGTGGGCACCACTGCATAGGGTCTCATCTGTTTATTTAGAGCCAAGGCCCCTCCCCGCCCTGTCCCTGGCTATGCCCGCTCCCCCTGGTGCCAACCCCGGGGGCCACGCCAGCCCCAGCACAGCCTCGTCACCGCGGCCCTAGGGGCTGTGCTGGTCCTGTGCTGCCAGGCAGGGCTGGCCCAGGTGA